AAGATTGCTCAGGACCTGGAAATGTATGGAATCAACTATTTTGAGATAAAAAACAAGAAAGGAACAGACCTTTGGCTTGGAGTTGATGCCCTTGGACTGAATATTTATGAAAAAGATGATAAGTGAGTTAACGTTTATCTTCAGTAGGTGGGGTGGTGGGCCTGGGAACAATGGCAAAATGGCAATTTTGTGGGTTATTTTTGAAGTATTTAGCAACTTACTATCCCAAAGTAGGAATCTTTAAGGGCTTTTGGACTGCTGTGGCCCTCTCAGAGGGTGGTCCAGAGGCATGGTTTATCCTGTCTCATGGTGGGTGGGGCCAATAGTGGGCTCAGGCCTGGGAGAGGAAGGCAGAATAGAACAGAGGCTGCCTCTCCTCCTCCTGCCTTTGAGGTCCCCCCCCGCCTAGCACCTACATGCAGGTACCAGCACATCCATCGTAACTACTTCCCAGGTTCCGGACTCCTGGCTAGAGGTTTATGCTAATCCAACCAGGTATATTTATGGTGTGATGAGAGACTTGAAGTGTTGTCTACACATACAGGCTGTTGTTTACACTTGAGCTAAATGCCGGGAGTCTGCAGGAGATACCTGAATTGCCTTGCATTAGTTAAATTTGTTGAGAGATTTGTGAGCAAGCTGGGTAGAGCAGCAGAGCCCAGCCTCTCCGCAGGGGACAGACAGTCCTCTTTCAGATACAGTGCATTTGCCACCTTTCTGCTGAGGATAAACGGGAAAATCATCCTAGTTCATGAGGGCAAGTTTCCCCCTAGTGAGTCCCTGACATCAGCATAGGCCCTAGCTTCTAGACTGATCTGATCAGAAGCTATCTGAATTTAAGAGGCCCAAGGAAACTACCTCTGGAAAGAGAAGGGAGAGGTTCCTGACTGCCTCCTGACTCCTGTCTCTGCCCTGATTGTCCAGTCAGCCTGATTGCTCTGCTGACTGTGGATAGTCCTAAACAAACCCTCTGATGGCCGCCAGCTTCAGGGACCTGGCAGAGGAGGACAAAAAAGCTCCTACAGTCTTTTTGCCAAGCCCCGCCTTTTGACCTGGGTTCCTACTTTCTACTTGAGAAGCATAGTGGCCCAGGGTTCCCGGATATATGTGGTTTCCTTCCCAGCCTCATGCTGTTCCTTTAAATAATGGCTGTCCCCATATCCCACTTGAGACTTACCCATCTCACCTGTTCTCAGGTATTTCTGTTCTCAGCTTCCCAACAGCTCAGGTTCCCCAAAAATCCTCTCTGGGGTTCACAAAGGGAGTGGTGCTGCTTTCCACAAATGATGTGCACAAGAGTGTCTCTCTCCATTTGCAACCATGTGTTTTCCTGCCAGAACCCAGGGCACAGATCAGTTTCACTTGGACAGGTCAGAGATCCATGCCAGCTGTGCCCAACCTCTTCTCACCTCCAAGGCCCACATGGTGAGACTGCAAGGAGGGAGGCAGTTGCTGTCTGCTGGAAGGAAGGTGCCCATCGGGGATGGAGTTAGTTAAACAAACCAATGCGATTCACCTGTCAGAATCACAGGAGCTCCTCAGAGAACCTGGAAATGAGTGATTGAAGACTCTCGTTCGTTCCTACCCCGAGTGTGCTGACTACATCATTAGTAAAGAAGTGGGGAAAAGCCAGGCATGTGGCTCACTCCTGGAATCCCAGGCTGAGGCAGGTGGATCCCTTGAGCTCAGGAGTTCGAGACCAGCCTAGGAAACATGTGAAAACCCCATCTCTACCAAAAATTTTAAAAGTTAGCCAGCTGTGGTGGTGCATACCTGTGATATCAGTCACTCAGGAGGCTGAGGTGGGAGGATCACTTGAGCCTGGGAGGCAGAAGTTGTAGTAAGCTGAGATTGCACTACTACACTCTAGCCTGGGTGTAGTAGTGAGAGACAGAGTAAACCATGTCTCAAAAAAAAATTTTTTTTTTTAAAGAAGTTGGGGAAGTGCGTAGATACAGGAACTTGGAACCAGGACACGATCTTTCCGGGAGGCCCCAGAGCTGAAGCCCGTGGCTCTTAGCCATGCCAAGGAGAGCGGTGCACAAAGTCCTGGTGGGAACACGTGGGAAACTGCCTCTGCCTTTGAAATCTCTTGAATGACCAGATTTTGTAACATGGCCAGGCCAGGGCTGTCCAAACAGGTTTTACAACCTGCAGGAAAACAGCCATGAGTAGGAACTTGCTGATGTCAGCTTGTAACTGCCCCAGCCCACGTAAATGTCCATTTCTTCCAAGTAAAAATGTGAGCCGTGTGCCGTATTTAGTACTGTTCTGGCTCTCTGCTCCCCCTCCCCCACCATTGAGTGGTGAACCTGGCAACTCTCAGTTGGTTCTTTCCCCACAGAAAGCTGGGGTGTTAGGCAGGCTCACTTACTGCCTCTCTTCTCCCTGTTCCTGAAGGCACACCCTTCTCTTCACAAAACATTTATGAAAATAGTCAATTAATAGGCCCAAATTCTTTTCCTCTTGAACAAATATTGACAACGTGGTAGCAGCATAAGCAGGAGACTGTCCTGAAGTCTGAGGAGTGCTGAGAACTCGCCAGCTGTGCCAGGTATCGTGCTGTACCCCTCTCGGTAGAACTAGGAGAATTAGGTATACCTGAAACATTGTTCAGGTGAGAAAGGTGATCTATTATGAAAATCGACCTCTAAGAGATTTATACTCTGTAAGTAAACATCTCTATTTAAAAACCCGTTTTAGTATTAAATAGGATCTGACTGGGAAATCTGTCTCTTGGGGTCCCCGTTTCATTGTGCACATACCATTAAGTGGGAGCCTATAGGACTGAAAGTATTTGTCATCTTTTTTTAAACTTTTAGCCTGGAATAGGTGGGAGTGTAAAGAGGGCAAAAATAGGTAAGCGCCCTTCCTGACAGCAATATAAGCTTCTGAACAGAGAAAGTTCAGTTTAGCTGGATTAGAATTCTACCTGGCACTCTCAGACCAAAAACAAAAACTAAAGGAACCTGATCTTTAGTCCTGTGGAAGCACTTTTTCCTTAGCTTCATCCCTCTTTGGGCAGGCTTCATCATAGAAGTACTTCTGTAGGTAGGAGTTTCTGGAAGTGCACCAGCTCCAGGGCTCCCACCTTAAAGGGAGAAAGTGCACAGGGAGCTTGGGGACTGAAACAGGAGCCACAGAATGGGTCTTTTCCCTTTAGATTCCTTGCGGAGGTACTCAGGGCTGCACTTGCTTTATCACTTCTCTTTCCATCTACACATCGCTGTCACCCTCTGGCTCTCTTTGACACATTTCCAAGAAAATCGCAGGCACCCATCTCCTTCCCCAAAATGAAAGTGTATATGATATTCCAGAAGTCAATTATACTTTGTTCTTTTGATGTAAAATTTAAATAAATGAAATGTAATCTTAAGTGTTTATTTGCTGAGTTTTCACAAATATGCCTGAAAAATGCCAAATCTTAAGATATATAGAACATTATCATCACCCTCAGCTACATGTTTTGGCTTTAAATTTTTAAACCATTTGTTCTTGCATTTTATTTTTTTTTATTTTTTGAGATGGAGTCTCGCTATGTTACCCAGGGTGAAATGCAATGGCATGATCTCAGCCCACTGTAACTTCTGCCTCCTGGGTTCAAGTGATTCTCCTTCCTCATCCTCCTCTGCACCTGGCCTGTTACATTTTAAAATCATTTCAGGCTGGGCATAGTGGCTCATACCTGTAATCCCAGGTATGAGCTAAGGGATTACAGGAGGATAAGGCAGGAGGATCACTTGAGCTCAGGAGTTGAGACCAGCCTGGGCAACATGGCAAAACCCCGACTCCACCAAAAATACAAAAAATTAGGCGTGGTGACACATGCATGTGGTCCTAGCTGCTTGGGAGGCTGAGGTAGAAGGATCACTTGAACCCAGGAGGCGGAGGCTGCAGTGAGCCAAGATTGTACCACTGCACTTCAGCCTGGTTACTTTTTCTCATTATTAAGCCAGACCCTATCTCAGTTTAAAAAAAAATTATTTCAAATTTTAAAAAGATTCTAAAAATAATACAAATAATTTCCTTATACACTTCACTTAGCTTCCTCATGCATTAACACCTTACATCCAAATATCAAGATCAGAAAATTAATGTTAATAATCTATAAACCTTATTCCCATTTTAATCAGTTGTCTCACTGATGTTCTATTTCGGCCCCAGGTCTGGAGCCACACCCCTCAATTGTTAGACCTTCCCATCTCCTTTGATGTGAGATAGTTGGTCTTTGTCATGAACTTAGTATTTTTGAAAAATACTGGCCATTGACTTTTTGGAAAGCCCCTCAACTTGGATTGTCTGGTGTTTTCTCATTATTAAATAGGAGTTTTGCATTTTTGGCGAGAACCTCACAAAAGTGCTGCTGTGCCCTTCCAGGGCCTCTTTCAAGGTGGCACATGCGGTCGGTATAGCTTATTGTAGGTGGTCCTAATTTTGATTGTTAAGGTGGTGTCTGCTGGGTTTCTTCACTGTAAAATTACTATCCTTCGGTTTACAATTGGTCAGTATATTTGGAGGAGATAATTTTAAACTATGTAAATATCCTAGTTCTAGCTTCCATTGATGAGATTACTTTGGTATTTGAGAAATGGTGGCTTAAAACTTGTTTTTACATGCATTAATTGGAATTCTGTAAGGAGTCGATTTCTGTTTTCTGTGTATTTAGTTATGTTAGTATGGACTCGTGGATATGTGTTTCAGTCTTTGGGTTATGATCTATTAGTATGTATCATCTTGCTCAGGTTGTTCGAGATTTGGCCTTTAGGAGCACGTTGAAATGGGATCCCCTGCATTATTTGCAGGCTTCCGTACTCTCTGGCTTCTCGAGATGCACCAGGTTCATCCTTTACATTCTCTGTTCTAGCCCTAGAATCAGCCATTTCTCCAAAGACCTCTGTCTGGTCCCTGTTATTGGAGAATCACTTTTTTTTTTTTTTTTTTTTTTTAAATGTGTGGCCTAAGCAAGGACACTTAAAACATAAGCCCTGAGGACCTTCTCTGTGCACCCTATTCCTGTCCTATATGTGAGCTCTTTAAAAAAAAAAAAAAGGAAATCCTTGGGCTTTAATTTTCCAACTTTGGTCAAGAATTAAAGGAAGTTCTTTAACTCAGAAGTGAGTCATAATTTTCATGTTTAACCTCTTTGTTTTGATACTGCAATTATGCTTATGAGTAGCTATGAATTGTTATATGAGGTTTCAAAGTCCTAAGAGGACAAACTTTCCAGACACACCAGAGAGCTGGAGGCCTCAGTTTTCTAAGGTCAGAACCTGTTTTGAGAGCCCTGTATAAAGACAGGAGCTGGATCCTGTAGCTCCCCTGTTGGTGCCAGCAGGCTGCTCTTGCGTTTTGGGTGAAAAGTGCTCCAAAGCAACACATGCCTGTCTGATGCCGTTCTCATAGCCTTTCAATGTAAGGAGGACATAGGCTGAAGTCAGTAGCAGGGCTAGGTGGTAGCTGGCATTCCCCTTCAATGCTCTGAAACCTGTAAAGAAAATGACATCTCAAAGATAAGAAACTCCTTGCATGTTTGTTTGAATGCCAGGTCTGTTTTTTATGGATATTGGTGATTCTAGACCATAGCACTGTAAAAGAAAGGGTGTATACAAAAAGCTTTGACGTTTAGAACCATGGTCTGGCCAGTATCCTGCCATTGTTCCTGCAGGCACACCGTGACCAACTATTCCCCAGAAGGGCCAGCTCTCGGGCTTACATGTTTGCCCTCAGCCTCCAGAGTCCACCCCACACTGCCCTGACTTAGTTTATGTTGTCATAACGAAACCTGTGTCGCTTGTCAGTATGAACCTGTTGGTACACCACAGATAGCTCGACCTTCCTGCTGCTTCTAAAATGAAGGTTTTTGTGGGATGTTGGAAAGGACAGTTTTGGATGGCAGCATTGCTGAATGGTGGTTTTGAGGATCTGTTGTCACTTCCAGAATGGCATTATTCCTGGTAAAATGCATTGGAAGAACAGGGTGGGAAGCATGCAGTGAGCAGAGCAATATGGTCTTGAAATCACATGATGAACTTGGGAATGCTAATAAAAGCCTGAGTCTGGGCCAGTTATGGCATAGCATTGGTTAAGCAGGGTTAACCCTGTGGGGCTTTCATTAGGGCAGTTAGTTTGAGGGCTGTCCTGGAAGTGGGGGAGAGTGCCATGGGAAAATGTCTGTCCAGCCGGGAGAACATGCACTAGCAATAGCAGAGTGTGTAGCAAGGCCTTGTTTATTTCTCTTGGAAAGCTCTGTTGAGTACGGTACGCCTAGGAAACATGATGGGATCTTGGCCCTGTTGGTTTCATAAAACTAAATGATCCGTAAGCTAAGTAACATTCAGCGAACAGTCTGTAGCAGAAGAGCCTTCGTGTTGAGAGAAGAGAGGCCTCAAGGGAAAGGGAGGGGACCCCAGGGAACCCGTGTGTTGAAAGGTGGGTCTGAACCATGGAGTTTAAGGCTGAATTTGACAGCTCTTAGATGCTGAGTTAAGGACTGTGTTAACCTTTGAAGATAGGAAATGAATCAGATCAGCATACCTCCCTACTTTCAGCACAGAGCTTGAGAGGGCTCTGGCAGGATGAGAGGTGGGTGAGTGTGGTGATGTGATACAGTGGAAGATTCCTGAGGGAGGGTCAAGGTGCCTGGGTAGGAATTGCAGGTGACCTCGAGATCACCATTCTGGGTAATTGTAGGTGCCCCAAACTGAGGAAAAGCCAAAGGAAATGGGAACAGATTAAGGTTGTAGAAGCCTTGCAGCCAGCCCCTTGGCTTGACCTAGGACAGGTGGGAACTGTTTAATAATAGCATGTAACACACATTATGTCTCCTGGGTTAGCTTCGTGTTATTTTAATTGAACTAATAAGAATAGATTTGCGAATCTCCTTACCCAGTCCAAGAACACATATGTATACATCTAACCATCCACCTTTTCTTTTTAACCTCAGGTTAACTCCAAAGATTGGCTTCCCTTGGAGTGAAATTAGGAACATCTCTTTCAATGACAAAAAATTTGTCATTAAACCCATCGACAAGAAGGCACCTGTAAGTTCCACAACATTTTATTCAGGGGCTACTGTTTTTCATTCTTAGACTTCATGAGTTTTCAGGGTAACAGAGTTCTCTCTGTGACAAGTAGCTGGTGATATCCCAAACTCGTATGTGATTGCACTGAGGGCCAGAGATCCTGTGGGCCAGGCAGTCATTGCAGGGGAGACCACTTAACTTTTCAAATGATCCTCATTCCTTAAGAAAAGGGCATTTCTGAGTCAATTGGCCAAATGATAAGCATTTCCCTAAATGCTGTGTTTTTGGTGTGGAGAGCCAGCCTACCTCCTGGACCACCTGGGTATGGGAACTCTGCTGGCACCTGGCTGGAGGACCCACAGTGGGACCTGCGAGTCTCAAGGGCCAGATCTGCATTTCAGAGCTTCCCTGAAACTTACACAAGTTAGGGACCGTCACACTTGCACCCAAACCTCAGGGTTTCATCTGGGCTTTGCCGCGCCCGCTTCTGTTGCCAAAGGTGTGCGTCCTCACACAGGTGAGACTGGCAGGCAGTCATTTTGGGAGGGACGTGATAAGAAAAAGGCTATGCTTGATGTTCTGAAATCTGAGAGTACTGATTGTAATAGCAGCAGCCACCAGTGCATTATGGAAATTTATTTGGTTTTATTTATTCTGACCTTTAAACTTCCGTTAGCTCAGAACATTTAAGACATGTACATAACTAGCATTATAGAATGGGTATGGATTTTGTTACCAGAAATCTGGTTCTCTAAAAAAATTGCCACTTGAAGAAATTCTGTAATCCACCTTCGAGCCTATTCTGAATTTTACCAAAATTACAGATTGGAAAGGACTTTGTGTTCTCATGTAATTTTTGTTCCTTAGTTACAGTGTTAAGCTTGGAGAGGCAAACATGGGCTGTGGTCCATAGCTTGGTTGTCTGTTAACCTTTTTGGGACTGGGTACTGCTTAGCAATGGCAAATCCACTTAGAACAGTATGTGGTGTTATTTTCTAATTACTTCTCCCCACATGCAGGTTTGTCTAGCATAATTTAAAATCAGCAGGTCTTGACAGTTTTTGAGAAAGTATTTTCTTTGTTAAAAACGTCTCCTGCTGTTTGCAAACTCTTGGCTGCTACTCCATGGGTAGTTGCACAGTTACTTAAAATTAAACTAGTGTTTAATGCAGACTCTGAGGCTCCCTGGTAGCCGTTTATATTAATATACAACACCATGAAGGGAGGGTCATAGTGTCTTTATGTCACTTGGGTAGTGAGATTGGCGCAATTTAGAACAAGAAAATGCTGAAATCCCTCATCAGTAGCCTGCTATGTACTCTGTGACGCTGTTGCCTTTTCAGAATACTTCTATTAGAGGTTTGACTAGAGCAGAAACTCTGGACTAGACTGAGAATTTGCGTGTGTGTTTGGTAAAAGTTTATCTCTTGAAAAGCTGAAGAATATTTCCTAAGTCCCAAGCAGAAGCCATTGTAGTGAATCTTGGGTGTATGCCTTTATTATAGAGCAGCCTCACGTGGAGCATCTCTTAAAAGATAAGGAAACATTGGCTGGTTGCACACTGTTCCAGGCACTCTTCCAGCGCTGTGTGTGCGCCACGAACAAGGCAAAGCTCCTGCCCTGGTGAAGCCTACCTTCAAGTGGAGGAAAGGGTTAGAAACAAGTCAAATGAGATGCTTTCTGGTAGTAAATTTAACAGTATGGCTGTGATTAAAAACAAAGCAGGACCAGAAGACTATGTGATCTTCAGGCAGGTTGGGCAGCAGCCACACTGAGAAGGCAGCATCTTTGAGTGGGCAGTGCTGAGTTCTGTCACCCCCACGCCACCCCAGGGCTGCTCGAGGCACTGCCCCGCCTCAGTCTGTAAACTTTTGGCAGAAGAAAACTCAAGTTTTCAACATCCAACTTTCACGTAAAAGAAGAGGAAGCCCCCAAGTTTAAGGCATGAACTCACAAATGAGTCCTTGTCCAGTTCTGCCCCCAGCAGCTGCCATCTCCTTTTTAAAAGCCAACTTCTGTTCCCTGCCAAGGCATGTACAGCAGTTTAGGGCCATGTGTTGGCTCTTGAGGTGAGACCTTGTACACAGCTGACATGGCCTGCCCAGGTAAGCCTATGAGGGCTGAGGTGGCTGCCTTTTCCCTTTCAAAAGAGCCTTTTGTTTCTGTGGCCTCACGGAGAAGGCAGAAGGCTCTCAGGCATCTGGAGTTGGGAGAAAGCAAGCAGCATTTCTGCACTGACTCCTCGGCTGCTCCCTCCATGTGGCCTTTCCAGGAGCCCCGCTGCCTCCCGTGGCTGTCTGTGGCCATCTTCGTGGCCATATGAGCCTTGGGATTGGCCTCTTATGGGAGTCTCCTGGAAGTTCCTGTTGCTGGCATCTCGGGGACTTGAAAAAGGACTCTTACCTTCTCTCCTTCTGTATTTGTAGGGTCTTGCGTTTATTTTTCTGGAACTTCCCTTGTGCCTAATTTGCATTTTTATCTTGCTTGTTCTCAGCCAGTTTAAAAACCCTGCTCCGGGTCTTGTCGTCTTGTAGTTCCGCATCAGGAGGCTGCATCTTGCAGCAGGTTAGGGACTTGGATTTGGAAGCCTTTCACTATGAGTCTTTGTTTTAACTTGAAGACAAACTGGCTTCCTTCAAAGACACTGGGAGAAATTTCCTGCCAGGCACCTTCCTCCCTTACCTGCTGGCAGTGGTGGACTCCCTGAATTCTCCTGGTCCCCGTTGCTGGCAGGACCTGTCTTCTGAGGGGAAAGGGGAAGAGGGGGACATTGTTATGTTAACCTGAAGTTACCATTGAGATTTTTCATTGATTCCTCCCACCCCTGTGTCCCCGAACCCCATAAAGGGGAGTTGGTGCTAATTAGCGTTTTCTGAGTCAGTCAGGGCCAGGGCCTATGTGGTAGAGTCCTCTGAAGGTGTAATGCAGTATTGTTTCCTCTTGTGTAATAAGGGATAGGTGGGTAATAAAAATACCTGTTGTTCCCAGCTCCACCAACTCCTCCCTGGGAAACCCAGTGACTTAACAACAAGGGTGTGAAACCCCAAAGACAGCCCCACCCAGGAAGTTCATGGGCTTTCAGGGCTTGGCATCACCTTTCACCCTAGGATTTCTGGAACAGATGAAAAGACTATGAAGCTAAATAGATTCTTCTTGGGTGTGTTGATGAACCCGCTCCGCCAGTTCCTCGTTAGGTATCAGAAGTTGCTGTGGGATATGTTGTGCTGTTTCTTTGTTTTAGCCACCCTGCCCCTGTTGCAAATGGTCAGAAGCTGGACACTGGGGGCCCTGAGGTTAAGAGGCAACTGACAGAGGCACTGAAAAATAACTTTTCATGGGAGTTTCTAAACGAGATTGTTTCTTTTGTCTTATAAGTTAATCACAGCAGCAGCAACGAGATGGGACTGAGATTGTCAGCTGTGTCCCAAATGTTTCCAGTCACAGTGACGAGTTTCCTGAATGC